CAATACAGATTAGGAAAATCTACATATAAAAATCAACAACACTTCTAAATGCAGTAAAATGAAAATGCATTTAGCATTTATTAAAGTATATTCCACTGCGTGTCCTATTTCCCCACACATAAAACCCGATAGTCACCGCTTCATAGGAATATATGCAGGGAGTATGGATTAATGAGTGGGCCTACATAAGCTACTGTTGCCCAAAAAAGTTTAAAGAACCAGTGGAAATACATAACTTTTGATATTGTTGAATTGATAGTCTTAGCCAGAGAACAATGGATATATAAGCCCTTCACTTGCTCGTGGTTCAACGACATAAGCGGACAAAGCAGATCCCGAGACATGAAAATATAAAATATACAGCTCCTAAGGTTATGCTCATAAATAATACCCACCACAAAGATGGAATACACTCCACGAAAAAAAAAGTAACAGCATTTCCTTGCAAAAAAATATATGGGGTGGCATCAACACCCATTAGTTTTATGTGCAAAACGTGCGCGTTTGCTTTAGCCGGAAATATTTTTTGCTCACGATAATAAACCACATGCAGGTATCACCAGTTTAGTTAGTCACGCAACAGTGTAAGATCAAAAGTTAAAATTGTGATAAAATCCGATCCGATCTCATAAACCCGGCTTTGAAGCAGGACCAGTGGGGGAACGGTGGACGACATACACCGTCGTCAATCTGCGTGCGATCGACGGTATCTTTTCTGAGTTATACTACTATCAACGAACAAATAAAAAAGGCAAACATTGAATAAGTAGATTATAAGTCAACTCATGCCCTTCACGCAGGTATGCAAATGGCAACAATCCAGAAAAAAAAATGAAGAGGAATTTTTTTCTTATGCTTTTTTAAGTGGATTATAGAAAAGCAGTCTATAGCAATAACATTTTACCAGAAAACTTCAATGAAACTAGTGTTGGGAAGACGAAAAAATGAGAAAAACTTATCGATGCGGAGTTGGGGCACATATTTTAATATGCACAGTCAAATATGCTGTAAATGCCGAATCCTGATTACAGTGCAGATCCTGTCCCAGCATTCTTGCAACACTTAGTATGCTTCCAAGGTGTTCACCCAAAAGAGGTCGGGAAAGATTGAGTAATTGTGTTACAAAACATGCACCTCAAAAATACCAAATGGCCTGAAAACGAGTACAATTCACGAGGACCTCATACCTTCAAATAGAACACTTAAAGTTCTGCGGGAATAATAAAATACAGTGGAGCCTCGGGTGACGAGCAGCTCCATTTGCGAGCATTTCAGGTAACGGGCTAGCCACTAGCGGAAAAATTATTTTAATTGGAGAGCTTCCTCTCAATTGACGAGTTGTCAGTGGGTGCGCGTGTATGCTTGTATCCGCCCTTAAGTCTTGCTGCCATGGCGTGGGTCCTCGGTCGTCTGCAGCCAATCAGTGAGTTGGTGTGGTTTTATTGGTTACTTTTCGCAAAACGAGCGTTTCACATGACGAGTTCGGTACCGGAACGGACTAAGTTCGTTAACTGAGGTTTCAATGTATATGGGTAACGAAAAAACGTGGAAAATATCACTCATAGTTTCAGTGGTGATATTCTTCAGATGCCACAGCAGATGATAGGGGATATATTACCCACAGAGCCACCAGCTCCAGTGTACGTAAGAACCCAAAATTAAAATCCAAAAGGTTGTAGACCAAGTTGAACAGAACAGCTCTTTCATACGTGTTTATCGTTATCAGCAGGCCGTACTAAAAGCGGAACCGACAGATCTAAGATCTGAATGCGGTCGAAGTTGGTTCTTGGACTGTGTTTCGCTATGAACCAACGCCTTCAGCTTAATTAGATAAGAGCCATTCCAACGTGACTGAACATTGCAACCTGTCCCGAATGTACGGAAAAAGGGCGTTTATCCTCGCAGTGGAGCCTCGGGATTGAATTCTCAGCTCTAATTAATGAATTCCATTACTACCAGACATGAACAATT